AGCTCCTGTCTGTACACAGTGTCCCCTCCCCCCATCTCCTCCTATCGGCTGTATGTCTCTCCCCGTCACTCCGGTTGTCCCCTCAGGCTCCCCCGGTCAAGTCCGGCTCGGTCTCTCACCCCGGGCCCGCGGCTCTCTGTGTCTCTCTCACGCTCTCTCAGGCTGTCCGTCGCTCTCTTCACACGTCACTGCCCCGCGCGCCTTCCCTTTCCCTCCACACACCGAGCCCCGCCCCCCAGTCACCCTCTCGGCGCAGTGCAGAACGCTGGGAAATGTAGTAGCCGAGGTCGGAGCGGCGGACATCTTGTGAGGATCAGGGGAAGGCTCCCTGTGATTGGTGGGAGAGCGCTGGGGGTGGGGCCAACGTTGAGGGGGCGGGCAGTTAGTGAGAAGTTGATGGTGATTGGTGAATAGAATGACAGCAGCGAAGAAGGGGGAGGAGCTGCTGGCAGAGCCAGACGGATCACGTGGTCCTTTCTCCTCCCGTGTCACTGACAGCCCGTGCGAGGCGATACAGCCAATGACAGACCGTTCCTGCCATCATCAACCACGCCTCCCTATAACTCCACCCTCCCAAAGTCTCAGTGCTGCCCCCTTCCCCTCCCCAATCTCAATGTTGCACCCACTCACCCTCCCCCCAGTCTCAGCACTGCCCCCTCTCACCCACTCCCCTAGTCTCAGCACTGCCCCCTTTCCCATCCCCCCATCTTAATGTTGCCCCCTCTCACCCTTCCCCCTATTCTCAGCACTGCTCCCCTTCTCCTCCCCCCATCTCAATGTTGCCCCCTCTCACCCCCCCTGCATCTCAATGTTGCCCCCTCTCACCCTCCCCCCAGTCTCAGCACTCTCCCCTTCCCCTCCCCCATCTCAATGTTGCCCCCACTCACCCTTCCCCCTATTCTCAGCACTGCTCCCCTTCTCCTCTCCCCAGTCTCAATGTTGCCCCCTCTCACCCCCTCCCCTAGTCTCAGCACTGCCCCTTTTTCCCCTCCCCCATCTCAATGTTGCCCCCTCTCACCCCCCCCCCAGGCTCAGCTCTACCCCTCTTCCCCTCCCCCAGTCTCAATGTTGCCCCCTCTCACCCCCCATCTCAATATTGCCCCCTCTCACCCCCCCCCTAGTCTCAGCACTGCCCCCTTTCCCCTCCATCTCAATGTTGCCCCCTCTCACCCTCCCCCCAGTCTCAGCACTGCCCCCCTTTCCCTCTGGTGGAGTAGCGTCTTAAACTCCTCCTCCACGGTGGTACATAAAGAGGAAGACTGGTGGAGTAGCCTTTTAATCTTCTTGATGGTGGTACATAGGAATGAAGACTGTAGAAGAGAAGACTTAACCTCCTCCTCCTCCTCCTCCTCCTCCTCCTCCATGGTGCTACATAGAAAGACTGGGGGAGTGTATTCTTAACCTCCTCCTCCATGGTGGCACATAAGAAGTCAGACAATGGTGGAGAAGACTTTTAACATCCTCCTCCATGGTGCTACTTAGAGGGGAATACTGCTGAAGTAGCCTCTTCCTCCTCCATGGTGCTACTTAGAGTGGAATACTGCTGAAGTAGCCTCTTCCTCCTCCATGGTGCTACTTAGAGGGGAATACTGCTGAAGTAGCCTCTTCCTCCTCCATGGTGCTACTTAGAGGGGAATACTGCTGAAGTAGCCTCTTCCTCCTCCATGGTGCTACTTAGAGGGGAATACTGCTGAAGTAGCCTCTTCCTCCTCCATGGAGCTACTTAGAGGGGAATACTGGTGAAGTAGCCTCTTCCTCCTCCATGGTGCTACTTAGAGGGGAATACTGCTGAAGTAGCCTCTTCCTCCTCCATGGTGCTACTTAGAGGGGAATACTGCTGAAGTAGCCTCTTCCTCCTCCATGGTGCTACTTAGAGGGGAATACTGCTGAAGTAGCCTCTTCCTCCTCCATGGAGCTACTTAGAGGGGAATACTGGTGAAGTAGCCTTTTCCTCCTCCATGGTGCTACTTAGAGGGGAATACTGCTGAAGTAGCCTCTTCCATGGTGCTACTTAGAGGGGAATACTGCTGAAGTAGCCCTCTTCCTCCTCCATGGTGCTACTTAGAGGGGAATACTGCTGAAGTAGCCTCTTCCTCCTCCATGGAGCTACTTAGAGGGGAATACTGGTGAAGTAGCCTCTTCCTCCTCCATGGTGCTACTTAGAGGGGAATACTGCTGAAGTAGCCTCTTCCTCCTCCATGGTGCTACTTAGAGGGGAATACTGCTGAAGTAGCCTCTTCCTCCTCCTCCATGGTGCAGCATAGAGAGGAAGAATGGTGGAAAAGCTTTTTAATTAACCTTCTTGATGGTGGCACATAGGAGGAAGACTTTTGTCGGAGTAGGCTTTTACCTCTTCCACCATGGTGGTACACTGAAAGGAAGACTGTGGTGGAGAAGCCTCTTAACCTCGATGGTGGCACATAGCTCGGGAGGCTGCGGTGGAAAAGCCTTTTAATTAGCCTTCTCGATGTTGGTACATAAGAATGAAGACTGTAGAGAAGACTTTTAACCTCCTCCATGGTGCTACATAGATAGGGATACAGGTGGAGTATACGCTTCACCTCCTTCTCCATGGTTCTACATAGAGAGGAAAACTGGTGGAGTAGACTCTTCACCTCCTTCTCCATGGTGCTACATAGAGAGGGATATAAGTGGAGTAGACTTTTAACCTACTCCTCCATGGTTCTACATAGAGAGGAATACTGGTGGAGTAGACTCTTCACCAGTATTCCTCTCTATGTAGCACCATGAAGAAGGAGGTGAAGAGTCTATTCCACCAGTATTCCTCTCTATGTAGCACCATGGAGGAGGAGGTTAAGAGGATACTCCACCAGTATTCCTCTCTATGTAGCACCATGGAGGAGGAGGAGGAGGTTGAGTATCCTCTTAACCTCCTTCTCCATGGTGCTACATAGAGAGAAAGACTGGTGGAGTATCCTCTTCCCCTCCTCCTCCATGGTGCTACATAGAGAGGAATACTTGTGGAATATCCTCTTAACCTCCCCCTCCATGGTGCTACATAGAGAAGAATACTGGTAGAGTATCCTCTTAACCTCCTCCTCCATGGTGCTACATAGAGAGGAATACTGGTGGAGTATCCTCTTAACCTCCTCCTCCATGGTGCTACATAGAGAGGAATACTTGTGGAATATCCTCTTAACCTCCCCCTCCATGGTGCTACATAGAGAAGAATACTGGTAGAGTATCCTCTTAACCTCCTCCTCCATGGTGCTACATAGAGAGGAATACTGGTGGAGTATCCTCTTAACCTCCTCCTCCATGGTGCTACATAGAGAGGAATACTTGTGGAGTATCCTCTTAACCTCCCCCTCCATGGTGCTACATAGAGAGGAATACTGGTGGAGTATCCTCTTAACCTCCTCCTCCATGGTGCTACATAGAGACAAAGAATGGTGGAAAAGCTTTTTAATTACCCTTCTTGATGGGGGTACATGTGAAGAAAGACTGTGATGGAGAAGCCTCTTAACCTCCATGGTGGCACATAGCTCGGAAGGCAGTGGAAAAGCCTTTTAATTAACCTTCTCAATGTTGGTACATAAGAATGAAGACTGTAGAGGAGAAGACTTTTAACCTCCTCCTCCATGATGGTACACATGGAGGAAGGCTGCGGTGGAAATGCTATTTAATTAACCTTCTTGATGGTGGCACATATGGGGGAAGACTTTGTTGGAGTAGTCTTTTACCTCCTTCACCATGGTAGTACACTGAAAGGAAGACTGTGGAGGTGAAGTTTCCAAATGGTCAGACGGCCCCTGCCCTAGGTTGCTCCAGAGGTTGCCAGGGGTTCCTTGAACGGTGCTCCATGCTACAAACATTAAAAAAAAGGTTGCATTAGAGAGGTGAGGCTGTACACACACCAACTGGATTTTTATAGATCTTGTCGGTTTCACTGTAGCAGGGCTAGGCCTAAAAATGGTGGAGGGAAATTTTCTGGTTCTTCATCAACTGCCTTTTCCACGTGGCCTTCAGAGTCACCACGTCTTCATCTGTTTCTTCTGCAGGAAAAGTGATTCTCTTTTTCTGAGATATTCTTACTGAACCCTTACCCTACTGTATGTCCTGATCTCCTTCCCCACTGTTAGAGTTCTTCTCTTCTTCCAACTCATACTTTGGGAGAATCAGACTTGGCCTATGTACTACCTGTGGAGTTACAGTTGGAGTCAAAGATTTAAAAGTTTTGAATTTCCTATTTTTGCAAAAACCTGGGAAGGTTTGCATCCTGGATGAAGATTCTTCTTCTTATACGTTATCCTCACAGCGGTTCAAACAGCTTAGAACAGCCTTTCTCATACAGTTTATTATGTAGAGGAACCCTTGAATTAACATTCAGGTCTAGGGAAATCCTGCTAATAATTGCTATATCTACAGATCAGGGTACAATGGTGGGAACAATCCAGTTGAGATAGAAGAATAAATAACAGCATAAGGAACATGATCTACTTTAAATATTTGAATCTCATGGCTGCTCCTTAAGACTTGCATTGAGAAAAATGCTCCTTACACTGGTGGTCAGTGGGAAGAATGTCCCTTATATTGGTGGTCAGTGGGAAGAATGTCCCTTACATTGGGGATCAGTGGGAAGAATGTCCCTTACATTGGGGGTCAGTGGGAAGAATGTCCCTTACATTGGGGGGTCAGTGGGAAGAATGTCCCTTACATTGGGGGTCAGTGGGAAGAATGTCCCTTACATTGGTGGTCAGTGGGAAGAATGTCCCTTACATTGGGGGGTCAGTGGGAAGAATGTCCCTTACATTGGGGGGTCAGTAGGAAGAATGTCCTTTACATTGGTGGTCAGTGGGAAGAATGTCCCTTACACTGGTGGTCAGTGGGAAGAATGTCCCTTACACTGGGGGTCAGTGGGAAGAATGTCCCTTACATTGGTGGTCAGTGGGAAGAATGTCCCTTACATTGGGGGTCAGTGGGAAGAATGTCCCTTACATTGGGGGTCAGTGGGAAGAATGTCCCTTACATTGGGGGTCAGTGGGAAGAATGTCCCTTACATTGGTGATCAGTTGGAAGAATGTCCCTTACATTGGTGGTCAGTGGTAAGAATGCCCCTTACATTGGAGGTCAGTGGGAAGAATGTTCCTTACATTGGTGGTCAGTGGGAAGAATGCCCCTTACATTGGGGGTCAGTGGGAAGAATGTCCCTTACATTGGTGGTCAGTGGGAAGAATGTCCCTTACATTGGAGGTCAGTGGGAAGAATGTCCCTTTACCTGGGTGGTCAGTGGGAAGAATGTCCCTTTACCTGGGTGGTCAGTGGGAAGAATGTCCCTACAATGGTGGTCAGTGGGAAGAATGTCTCTTACATTAGTGGTCAGTGGGTAGAATGTCCCTTACATTGGTGATCAGTGGGAAGAATGTCCCTTACATTGGGGGTCAGTGGGAAGAATGCCCCTTACATGGGTGGTCAGTGGGAAGAATGTCCCTTTACCTGGGTGGTCAGTGGGAAGAATGTCCCTTTACCTGGGTGGTCAATGGGAAGAATGTCCCTTTACCTGGGTGGTCAGTGGGAAGACTGCTCCCTACAATGGTGGTCAGTGGGAGGAATGTCCCTTACATTGGGGGTCAGTGGGAAGAATGTCTCTTACATTGGTGGTCAGTGGGAAGAATGTCCCTATAATTGGGGGTCAGTGGGAAGAATGTCCCTTACATTGGGGGTCAGTGGGAAGAATGTCCCTTACATTGGGGGTCAGTGGGAAGAATGTCCCTTACATTGGGGGTCAGTGGGAAGAATGTCCCTTACATTGGGGGTCAGTGGGAAGAATTCCCCTTACCTGGGTGGTCAGTGGGAAGAATGTCCCTTTACCTGGGTGGTCAGTGGGAAGAATGTCCCTACAATGGTGAAGAAGAAAAGAATGCTCCTCTTAGCTAAGCATATCAGTGGAATCAGTGTTCATTTATCTGAGGGACAGACATTTTTGTAAATATTTGATTCTCTCTTCTCATGTGACAACACTGAAGAAATGACACTTTGCTACAATGTGACGTAGTCAGTGTACATCTTGTATAACATGTAAATTTGCTGTCCCCTCAAAATAACTCAACACACCGCCATTAATATCTAAACCGCTGGTAACAAAAGTGACTCCACCCCTAAGTGACAATGTAGAAATTGGGCCCAAAGTGTCAATATTTTGTGTGGCCGCCATTATTTTCCAGCACTGCCTTAACCCTCTTGGGCATGGAGTTCACCAGAGCTTCAAAGGTTGCCACTGGAGTCCTCTTCCACTCCTCCATGACAATATCACGGAGCTGGTGGATGTTAAGAGATCTTGCGCTCCTCCACTTTCCATTTGAGGACGCCCCACAGATGCTCAATAGGGTTTAGGTCTGGAGACATGCTTAGCCAGTCCAACACCTTTACCCTCAGCTTCTTTAGCAAGGCTGTGGTGGTTTTGGAGGTGTGTTTGGGGTTATGTTGGAATACTGCCCTGTGGCCCAGTCCATGAAGGGAGGGGATCGAGCTCTGCTTCAGTATATCACAGTACATGTTGGCATTCATGGTTCCCTCAATGAGCTGTAGCCCCCCAGTGCCGGCAGCACTCATGCAGCCCCAGACCATGACACTCCCACCACCATGCTTGACTGTAGGTAAGACACACTTGTCTTTGTACTCCTCACCTGGTTGCCGCCACACACTCTTGACACCATCTGAACCAAATCAGTTGATCTTGGTGTCATCAGACCACAGGACATGGTTCCAGTAATCCATGTCCTTAGTCTGCTTGTTGTCAGCAAACTGTTTGCGGGCTTTCTTGTGCATCATCTTTAGAAGAGGCTTCCTTCTGGGATGACAGCCATGCAGACCAATTTGATGCTGTGTGAGGCGTATGGTCTGCGCTGGACAAGCTGACCCCCCACCCCTTCAACCTCTGCAGATTTCACACGTCTGTTTCCCAAAGACAACCTCTGGATATGATGCTGAGAACGTGCACTCAACTTCTTTGGTGGACCATGGCGAGACCTGTTCTGAGTGGAACCTGTCCTGTTAAACAGATGTATGGTCTTGGCCACTGTGCTGCAGCTCAGTTTCAGGGTCTTGGCAATCTTCTTATAGCCTAGGCCAGAGGTGGGCAACTGTGGCCCTCCAGCTGTTGTAGAACTACAAGTCCCATGAGGCATTGCAAAACTGAGTTACAAGCATGACTCCCAAAGGCAGAGGCATGATGGGACTTGTATATCACCAACAGCTGAAGGGCCACAGTTGCCCACTCCCTGCCCTAGCACATCTTTATGTAGAGCAACAACTCTTTTTTCCAGATCCTCAGAATTCTTTGCTATGAGGTGCCATGTTGAACTTCCAGTGACCAGTAGGAGCGAGTGAGAGCAATAACACCAAATGTAACACACCTGCTCGCCATTCACACCTGAGACACGGGGAGGGAAAATGGCTAATTGGGCCCAATTTGGACCTTGTCACTTAGGGGTGGACTCACTTTTGTTGCCGGCGGTTTAGACATTAATGGCGGTGTGTTGAGTTATTTTGAGGGGACAGAAAAATTTACATGTTATACAAGCTGTGCACTGACTACATCACATTGTAGCAAAGTGTCATTTCTTCAGTGTTGTCACATGAGAAGAGAGAATCAAATATTTACAAAAATGTGAGGGGGGGACAAGTTGCCAATTCAAGACAAGGTCATTAGAAAGTACAATATCCGACAAAGTATGTCACACACATCGGCAATCCAAAGGATGGTCATTTAATATTGTTATAAACATTATAGGACGGATGATGCCCAAAGCCTACATCAAGGGTCTCCAAACTTTTCAGTACGAGGGCCACAGTGAATACTTTACAAGTAATCTGGGGACGGAAAAAGAAAAAAAAATCCCCACCTGAGTCCCTATCAAAGGCCTCCCTTACATCAAGATCCATATTAGAGTCCCCTTTACATGAGGGTTCCTAGAATCCCTCACACACATTAGGGTTCCTATTAGTCTCCCTTTATATCAGGGTTCCCAATAGAGTGCCGCCACCACACAAGGGTTTCCATTAGAATGCCCCCCCTCGCACTAGGGTCCCCATCAGATCAGAGTCCCCTCCTATACCTTGGGGTTCTCAGGAGAGTGTGCCCTTACATCAGGGTCCCCATTATAGTCCGGGGGGTACTATGATGGGACCCCACATTAGGGTCCCGTTTACATCAGAGTCCCTAGTAGACCCCCTTTACATTATGGTTTCCATTAGAGTACCCCCCCTTCACACTAGGGTCCTTATCAGATCAGAGTCCCCTCCTATACCTCAGGATTCTCAGGAGAGTGTGCCCTTACATCAGGGTCCCCATTATAGTCCGGGGGGGGTACTATGATGGGACCCCACATTAGGGTCCCGTTTACATCAGAGTCCCTAGTAGACCCCCTTTACATTATGGTTTCCATTAGAGTACCCCCCCTTCACACTAGGGTCCTTATCAGCTCAGAGTCCCCTCCTATACCCCAGGATTCTCAGGAGAGTGTGCTCTTACATCAGGGTCCCCATTATAGTCCGGGGGGGTACTATGATGGGACCCCACATTAGGGTCCGGTTTACATCAAAGTCCCTAGTAGACCCCCTTTACATTATGGTTTCTGTTAGAGTCTCCCTTTACATCAGTTTTTCCATTAGAGTGCCCCCCCACACCCACACACACACACACTAGGGTCCCAGAGTCCCCTCGAGAGTGTGCCCTTAAATCAAGGAAATTACAGTGACCCTTTATCAGGGTCCCCATCAGAGCACCCCCCCCCCCCCCCTTATAGGACATTCTGCATTAGGAGTCCCCCTTACATCAAGGTCCCCATCAGAGTCCCCCTTATATACCGGTAGTGGACAGCTGGATAAAATCTTGTAGAGGGCCGGCTGTGGTTTGGAGACCCCCGGCCTATATCAAATGGACCATAGAATCTTAAAGTCGTTCTTCTGAAGGGGGGCGGGTGTTTGATGGAGCGAAGGGGTGCACTCTAATTTTTACCACTTCCTTTGGACTACCGTATTTTTCGCTCCATAAGACGCACTTTTTCCCCCCAAAAAAGGGGGGAAAATATCAGTGCGTCTTATGGAGCGAATATAAAGCGACCGGCACGGTATTTCTGCCGCCATCATGTCAGAATACCGGACGCACTTTTTCCCCCCAAAAAAGGGGGGAAAATATCAGTGCGTCTTATGGAGCGAATATAAAGCGACCGGCACGGTATTTCTGCCGCCATCATGTCAGAATACCGGGCCGGCCGCTCAGCTGTTCGCTCCTGCAGGGCCTTACCTGTTCCTCGCTCCAGCGCTGCAGTCTTCCCGCGCTGGCTTCTGTGACAGCCGGGTGCCCACTGCGCATGTGCTGTGCTTTGTGAATGATCCGGTGTCTTCTGGGACACATGACAGGTCCCAGAAGGCGCCGGGCCATTCACAAAGCGCAGCGCTTCTCGCGCGCATGCGCAGTGGGCACCCGGCTGTCACAGAAGCCGGCCCGGAAAGTAGAGGGAAGGCAACTCCGCGGAAGTGGGAGTGGGTACCTGTCAAATTCAGGTACCCGCTCCCCCTCCCTCCCCAAAGGTCAGCAGTCTCTGGTCATTCCCTGCACTGTCTGCAGTCTCTGGTCATTCCCTGCACTGTCTGCAGTCTCTGGTCATTTCCTGCACTGTCTGCAGTCTCTGGTCATCTCCTGCACTGTGTCCGCAGTCTCTGGTCATCTCCCGCACTGTGTCCGCAGTCTCTGGTCATCTCCCGCACTGTGTCCGCAGTCTCTGGTCATCTCCCGCACTGTGTCCGCAGTCTCTGGTCATCTCCTGTACTGTGTCCGCAGTCTCTGGTCATCTCCCGCACTGTGTCCGCAGTCTCTGGTCATCTCCCGCACTGTGTCCGCAGTCTCTGGTCATCTCCTGTACTATGTCTGCAGTCTCTGGTCATTCCCTGCACTGTCTGCAGTCTCTGGTCATCTCCTGCACTGTCTGCAGTCTCTGGTCATCTCCCGCACTGTGTCCGCAGTCTCTGGTCATCTCCCGCACTGTGTCCGCAGTCTCTGGTCATCTCCCGCACTGTGTCCGCAGTCTCTGGTCATCTCCCGCACTGTGTCCGCAGTCTCTGGTCATCTCCCGCACTGTGTCCGCAGTCTCTGGTCATCTCATCTCACGTACTGTGTCCGCAGTCTCTGGTCATCTCCCGTACTGTGTCTGCAATCTCTGGTCATCTCCTGTACTGTGTCCGCAGTCTCTGGTCATCTCCTGCACTGTCTGCAGTCTCTGGTCATCTCCTGTACTGTCTGCAGTCTCTGGTCATCCCCTGTACTGTGTCCGCAGTCTCTGGTCATCTCCCGCACTGTGTCCGCAGTCTCTGGTCATCTCCTGTACTGTGTCCGCAGTCTCTGGTCATCTCCCGCACTGTGTCCGCAGTCTCTGGTCATCTCCTGCACCGTGTCCGCAGTCTCTGGTCATCTCCTGTACTATGTCTGCAGTCCATTGGTTCAGAATATTTTTTTTCTTGTTTTTCGCCTCTAAAACCTAGGTGCGTCTTATGGAGCGAAAAATACGGTACTCCGAGGATACCGATGTGATAGAGAGCTGCCTCGCATCCGGAGTTCCACCAACACTTCCTCTGTACTACGTGCGTGTTCTCCAAAACAACAAAACTTTATTGAACACCAAGATCATCGCTGTGCGGCTCTACGAATAAAGCTTGGATACAAAATTTCCTCTTTATGGGAGGTGCTCCTCGATGCTCACACAAAAGACTCGAGCAAAAATTTCCAGAGCCCTGGATGCTAAATTAGTGAAAATTTCCAACGAAATGATGAAATATGCTCCTCCATTGGCGACGTTG